TTTTTTTTTCATCGGAGGTCAGTAATGACGCAAAGAAGCGAGCATATCGGGACGATTAATTGCCGTGACATAGAGCCAATTCACGCTCACCTTTTTTGACTCAGCCCCAAAAATTACTGTTGGCAAATTTCCAAATTAATATCACCGCCTTCTCGATATCAGGCGTCTTGATCGCTTCAAGAGTTCGGAATATTGGCGGCTAAGCCATACAGGTCTTCCCGGAGCCGTTAGCATAACATCGTCACCTCTTGCGTTCAATTTGTCCATCTGAATATGCGCTAAAGTTGTAGCTGCTGTTTGCGGTTGCTAATGACTGTGGTCAGACGACGATCTGTAATAGTGGACAAAGATTTTAGATGTTAATATGGTTTACGATGGCTGCAGCAAAAAAGTGCGTAAAAACAACAGCTAAGACGTAAAAAAGAGATGAAATTTTGGTCGTTAAAGTACGTTTATTTGGTGACTGAAGGGATGGGAGACATGGAAGTCCTGTTTGCCAAAGCAGAGTTGTTAATCTATTGTTCACAAAATTTATGCGTCAGACAAGCTGTTACTCATATGCTAAGAACGGGAAAGGGTGCTGTAGATGACCGCCTTGATTAAAAATGACCGAAAAAGAGGTCGACAACAGCCAGATTTGCAGTGTGGTCGTTTTTTGATAAAATGTCTTGTCAGGTAATTGGAACAGTTTAAGTGACTGTTACAGGACTTGGCGACTGTTTAACTGTCAAGCTTGTATCTCCTGGACTGACAGCTTCTAGAAACCATGAGCTTTGCAAGGTTAAACAGGCTTTTAAAGCAAGTTTTGGGAAAGAACTATCGAACCACTGAGAAAATATACAAGTTTTTAAGTAGCGTATTGTTTAAAAGACGACAGGAGGTCACCGTTTTAGATTATCACTCTTTTACGTGGTTCCCAGAAATGGGCGGCATTGCAAGCACAAGGTCTGCATTACACCTGTAAACAGTGCCATTTTCTGTCATTGAAAACGCTCCATTGTTCCTTTCGCATATATATATGTATACATGTATTAGCGGAGACTTAGACTGTAAAAATCGGTGGAGTTTTCGAACGATATTTCCCATCGTTTTTTGGCCAATCGCTCAATTTTTTAAAGCTGTTATTGCTGTTTATTAGATCCACTTCTCCTTGGCTAGGCCGTTATGCCTGCTTTTGTTTTTGAACTTCACTTTCATTAGGTTTTAAACTTTACAGCAGATTAATTCAGCCACTTATCTTCGTTGAAATACGAAAACAAAATTATGATGAATACTACCATTCATATATAGTACACTATAAATTATATTTCCAAGATTAAGATTTCTTATGACATATTCTTCGAAATTTAATTTTGCAAAACATAACGTAATTGTAGCACAGCTGCATTAACTGCTTCCGAAAACTTCACTAAGGTGCACATCATTTCCAAAGCAATATTAGTGCGAAAAATGATCACTTCTGCGTTCGCTTTAAGATATACCAATTTTTCAGTGACTCTTAAGCGAGAAGAAACCAAACACATGATGGCGACCAATACTTTTGCGGATATATGATAAAACAGAAAAGTATTTATTTATTTATTTATTTACAAATGTTTTTTAGCCATGTCAGGAAAAGCTACCATCTGTTTTTTAAATACCACAAACTGTACGAACGGAAGTGAAAGTTTTTTAGAAATCACAACCTCACAAAATCTGTAGGTTTTGCTTCTAATTTTTTGAAATACTTTACCGGTGAACAAACATCTAATGAGTGGTATTAATTAATTCAATAACGTTACGTGCACAGGGGACATTAAAACTAAAAAAGCGACGGTTTCTGAATCAGCAAAAAGTTCATTACAAGGTGCATCCGAATTCTGCTGGAAATCACGGTAGTGACCAGAATGCTTCGCAATGTACGACCGCGTATTCTGCAAAGTTCTGCAAACAATTAGGATCTTAAAAAAGATATTCTTGCCAACAAAATTTTCCACTAAAACTGACAACTCTGAATTACAAGCTTTGTACCGACTTTCTAACATTTACTAAAAAAAGAATGCATTTTGGACAGTTGCATAAACATGTGAAGTGGTGGGCAGAAGTTCGGCTAAAGCAAAATGACAGAGTGTCATCGTTTAAAAGGTCGCTTATTCGTGACTACTCACTGCAATGAACAAGCGGTTTTTCAAAAAATTCTATCCAGTTGAGATGGCTGAGATTTAAGGTTAAACTGCTGACGAGTTAGTATGACAGCGTGCTAAAAACCTTGGAATTTTACCTATCATAATTTATCTCATTTTATCTGTAGAAATTTCCAATCTCAAATTTCAGTCCTCGTTTCTCCTTGAGAAACTAACTGATTTAGCGCAATGCTTTTTTGGACAGTCGCTTAATTTCTGTTACTTAGTTAAGATTGCGTATGCTTGCATCTACTCTCTGTTTCCTGTGGAGTCATTAAAAGGGCAGATTAGGAATTTAAGCGTAAATAAAAATAAATTTTCTGCATAATCTTCAAGATGTTCCTGCAAACAGAGATTCTGTTATAGCACCGTCTTTCAGAAATTTATATTTTTTGGTAATCTTTTACTGAAAGTGCGTTTACCGTTCAGCCTTGTTTTAATAAAGCAAGAAAAATGACCATAAAAACTTTTTTTCAAAAAAGCTCAAAATAGATAATTCTAGCCGGTTCCTTCAAATTCTAAATAGAATACAAGTAAGTAAAGCACAGAATTCTTTTTCTTCATTAAATTAAGTAGCGTAAAAACGCGAATCACAGTATCGATTAATGTACTGATTAGTAACGATTACTGTTGATTTATGCGACAGCTTTTCTTCTCCCATTCAATGATTCACGCTAAAAAATCGACTGCGATTAAGGTCATTATTTTATCTTGCACTAACTACTTATGTTATAATGTTGTGCGTGAATGTAATAATGTGAATGCAAACAAGCAAAACTTGGAATGAATTGATGTTGGATACCGACAACCAGTAATAAACACTGAGCGGAACAAATACCCCGTAATAAAATTTTAAAAGGCAAACAAAAACACCGTATGAAAGTTTTAAAGATGTGGAATAGAAAACGAAGAACAAAAATGAAAGTGTATATGTAACAATGCTATAATATTTTTGAAAAACTAATTGAGCAGTCTTAAAGGAAAATTTAGTAATTTAGATTGCAAAGTACTTTGGCCGTCATTTCCATCAGAATCATATCTGGCTTATATGACAAATCAAAATGATTAAGGAGGATAGTGGGAAGTAAATAGGGAACGATAGAATATGACTAACATCAAAAAGTATCTCACATCGTTGTATATAACCAGAAAATTTAAAGTTGAAGGTTTTAATTACTTTCAGAAGCTCACACTGAAAGCTTAGTTTGAGAGAAAAACATAAATATCAAAAATGAAGCAAACAGTTTGAATAAAAATGCTTTTCATTGGGAATCACTGGTCACTTTTGAAAGTTGGAGAATCCAAAATAAAGTAAATTTGAAAAGGGCCCAAGGTAGCCAATTCAAAAAATGCTTCAGATACCAACAAAAAGAGAAAATTTACAGAACAGACGCCGTCTTCATATCGCAAATAAGAACTTTATGTTTTCTAAACGGCTACAATAGGAAATTTTTTAAAAAACCATGATGCAATAAAAAAAATTGCAGCTATGAAGATGGCTTTGAGAAGTTGTTAGAAAAATTAATATAAAAACTATGATTGAGGACCGTTAAAATTAGATGCTGTCTAGTCACCATAAAACGCTTCGTTCTGTTTTTTCTCGGTACATTTTTGAAAACGAGATCCGGCATATGAGCTGTTGAAGTGTCAGCAATCCAAAATAAAAGCAAAAAACAAATTTTTCAAGCAGAAATGAAACGTTGAAAAATTTCTCGCTTCAAAAAAATAGCGTTACCATTCGATGACATCACTTTTTTCAATTCTTTTAAAC